CCCGTCGCCTAACGTTACCTTCACCTGTACAGCACGCAACCAGTGACACGGACTATAAATCAGAGCCGCTTCTGCGCCACCTGCGAGAAGCTCCGATCGAAAAAAGATCCTGCTATTTACGGACCGTGTTGACAGCTGCGACGGCCCCGCGGAGGACGGCATTCTTTACGTTTATGCGCATTCCATCGAGGAAAGCACGCTTTTGATTCAAGGGTATATTATTACCTTCGTCTTCCCCGTCGAGGTGCCGGCGGTGCCGGGACTCTCCATCGTTGAGCGGGTACGATTCGCCGAATCGGTGCTTGAGCGAAGAAGACCTGCGCAAGAGCGACCTCACCGACCAGACGCCGACACGGACACGCAGAGCACCGAGCTCATGGTCAAGCTTGTCGGTCGTCGGTATAGAGAGCCTAGATTTAAGGGGTGGGGTAGCTGCTCAATCGTGGTCACGTGGTTCGTGGACCGCGTTTGCAAAACGAGCTACAGTATGCAAGGAGCAAAAACTCAAAAGCGCTCACCTTCTGCAAACGTGCCCGCCTCTCCGCCCAGTTTCCTCGCCACACGGGCCACGCGACAATCAAATGCAGACGTACTTACTGCTCCCCTCTCCTAAATCTAGGCTTTCTATCCGTCATCTCCGCCGGTGCGTCGTCGCTAGCGCTCCGAACGCCCTATCGACATGCCACGACGGCTTCTCCGCGTCCGATGCGGTAAAGCCGCTTCCCAGATAAGGAGCGGGAAGCAGACGACGTTTCAGAGACGGCCGCCGGTAGCCTTTCCAGCATCTTCTGCAGCCTGTTCTGGGTTGCTTCTTGGCCGCGGCAACAAATTTTTTAGAGCGCAGCTCTTAGACGCCCGTTTCCGGCTTCAGCGGCGGCGGCGTCGGCGTAACTGCGACCCCCCCCCCCCCCCCCCCCCTGAGGACCTCGGGTTCCTTCGGGAGGACCTCGGGAGGACCTGGGGTACCTTCGGTAACCTCGGGGAGGGGGGGGGGGGGGGGTCACCCCCCTCAGTTGCCCTTCCCTACTCCTCCTCAAGAGCTGCGCTTTAATTCGGCGTTACAGGGAGTTGTACACGACTTTCCTTTTAGAGCGCAGCTCTTAAGCGCGATCCAAACCAACTCTTCTTTTTGCGCCTGTAAGTCGTGCGGCTGCGGATGTGACGTATTTTCGTGACGTCGCGCCGCTTCATCGCTCCTTCCGGGCGCGCACAAGAAAGTTGGATAATTTCACTGATCTCTATGACAATTGCTGGATCGCGCTTCCCAGCTTGTTCGCTGCAGCGCAAGTGAAGCCACCGGACTTCACTCGCTTGGGATACGATTTGCCGTTTTTGCTAGCCTTTGCTGCGGTTTTCCAGCGTGCTGTAGACACATTTTCTACTCGCTCGTCGTCATTCCCCGAGGAAGTTTTTTGAGACTCTGTGTATTGTTGAGACTTGCCGTTGTGAACACGTGGAAAATTTTACGAAAGTGCAGTGTCGCAGGAATAAGTCACAACGCGTCGAAAGGAAGGGCTGGCGGCGTGTTCAAAGCTTCCTTGGCACGCCGAAGTGCCGTGTCTCTGTGCCTTCGCACGCTTGGATACCGACCAAGAACCGACGCCGTGTGTATGTGTTTAGCGAGTGCAATGTGCGTGAAGCTGTTCGTGCCTCTGGATCAGCGTCTTTTCCCCTCGCGGTTTAGGAACGAGCTTAATCCAGCGTCCACTAGCGACGGAAGATGGGGGGAAGGTACGTCTTTTTTTCGTCCTTAGACGATTTACACAATACCGTGCACAACAGCTCCTCATCACTGATCAGTGCTGGCTTATTATCAACCTACTTAATTGCACTTGACGTTTGAGCGCGGCTCGCCTAATTGTAATTGGTCAACAGATTGCACACGACCATATCGGCCGCGCTTCAAAGATTTTCATTCTCGCCGTCTTGTACTTTTGCTTTCGAAAACCCCCCTGGCTCCACAACGTTGCCCTATTTGTGCTCCCACGGAATCTATTAGAGTAGATTTGGGACATAGCCATGGTTAATATAGTACATAAGAACACGTACAGATCTCCCCCTTTTATTGATAGCAACTCACCGGAACAGCTGGACGATCCAGAACCCCGTGGCCGATATATATAAATGATCTAAAGGCATCTACGCGCGACACACGTTCAGAACTTTGGCGCGGCGTCAATTCTTGACCGGTATCCAGGCGTGCGAAGGCACAAAGATGCATCACTCGGCGTGCCAAGGAAGCTTTGATCACGCCGCGACACCGGCGACACGTTTTCGACGGGTTGTACCTTTTGATACGGCTTCACGCGCATTGCACTCGCTAAACACATTCACTCGGCGTCGGTTCTAGGTCGGCATCCAATCGCGCGAAGGCACAGAGACACGGCACTTCGGCTTGCCAAGGAAGCTTTGAACACGCCGCCAGCCCTTCCTTTCGACGCGTTGTGACTTTTTCCTGCGACACTGCACTTTCGTAAAATTTACCACGTGTGCACAACGGCAAGTCTCAACAATACACAGAGTCTCAAAAAACTTCCTCGGCGAATGACGACGAGCGAGTAGAAAACGTGTCTACAGCACGCTGGAAAACCGCAGCAAAGGCTAGCAAAAACGGCAAATCGTATCCCAAGCGAGTGAAGTCCGGTGGCTTCACTTGCGGGAGCGGCAAGCGCGATCCAGCAATTGTCATTGAGATCAGTGGATAATTTCAACTTCTTCTCAACGCGCACAAAAACGCGCGGTGACGTAGTAGGACGCTCCTGTGTCCCGGCCAATCGGTGGAGGGCAAGCTAGTTCCGGCTCCGCGTTTCTCGCCGTCTGGCCGGCCATTCGGTCGCAGTTGCACTTTGCTTGTGCGCTCGTGCCTGCGTGCGCGCGTGCGCGCTCGCCCGAAGTTTCGCCCGTCCAAACCAAAGCGCACGGTTCTGACTCAGAAAGCGCGCCCGGAAACAGCAAAAACGCCACGAAATGCGTCACATCCGCAGCCGCACGACCTACAGGCGCAAAAAGAAGCGTTGGTTTGGATCGCGCTTTAGGCGCCCGTTTCCGGCTTGAGCGGCGTCGCCGTCGGCGTCACCGTCGGCGTAACCGCGCGGAGCATTATGGGTAAATTTCCCCGCTAAATCTAGCGAAGAAATTTCCCCGCTAAATTTAGCGGAAAAATTCCCCCGGTAAATCTAGCGGAAAAATTTCCCCGCTAAATCTAATGGAGAAATTTTGGTGACGTGACCTGGGGGTCACGTGACCCCTCCCCCGAGGTCACGTGCTACCCCCAGGTCACGTGACCCCCTCTTGAGGTCACGTGACCTCAAGTGGGGCACGTGGCTCCCCCCACGTGGACACCCCCCTCCCCCGAGGTCACGTGACCCTTACCCCTGTCAGGTGACCCCCCAACGTCACGTGACCCCTCCCCCGAGAACACGTGACCCTCAGTACCCTTCCCTCCTCCTCCTCAAGAGCTGCGCTCTAATTCGGCGTTACACGGAGTTGTAAACGGCTTTCACTTTTTTTAAATTATCACTAAATTTTTTTTTGCTATATCCGCGGGAGTCGCTCATCGCTCAATTTCATTTGCTAAAAACAGACACAAATGCATTGAGAAAGTGCAGACGGGAATGGGAAATCGTGATCGCTTCGCTGTAGCCGCTATTTCGTTATAACCGGTCTTGACAGTATAGTATTCCGATTTTAAGAAAAAGATAGCTCGTGAACTTAAGGCCCGTTCACACACTTGCGACTCCTTAGAACAGAGTGCCTTGAAACCTCTTCAAATTTCTTAGGACCAGCGAACACACTGGCTCGCTGGCGCCATCTATGCTGTGACCCTGGAACTGCATTTCACAAGAGCGAAGGTTTTTCGGGATTTCCGAGGTCAAATGTGCGTAATACCTATGAGAAAGCCTCGTTTATAACGTTGACAGAAGTTTTTCGAGCCAAGAAAGAAAGGATGATGCGCGAGAGAAATAGAAAATATGCGGGACTACCAAGTTTACACTGCTACCCAATAGATGGCGCCAGTGTGTCCTCTTGTCGTAAGAGATTTTAAGAGGTTTTAACTTCTAAGGCACTCGATCTTAAAAAGTCGCAAGTGTCTGAATGAGCCTTTAGATTTGTGCGTGGAACCTATTTTTCACCATTAAGATTGGGACTACGCGATTAGAAGGTGGATTACACGAGGGTAATGAAATCCTCTTTTACTTTGGCTACATAATTGCGTAATTTCTCGAGTTCTTATGCAGCTTATACGGACCTTTACTTTCATATTCAGATAATGCTCAACGTGAGGTGTAGACTGAATTATGGTAGTAAAATTCTTATTTGCAAAAGTGTACCAGGGTAAACAGATAAATTAAAACCCGTACGTAGCGCGCTTGTCAGCCAGCCTCCAAGTCGTTATGCTTCGTTACACTAATGTCAGAGGAATGTGGTGGGTGTTTTTCGTTTTCACCCTTTGCGCACATGGACACACCGTGCACATGGACAATTTTCCTACCGAAAGTTGCACCTCCTTATTCTCATGTCGCTTTTTTAGCTGCATGTTTTGCGCATGCTCAAATTGTTAATATTTTCTTAGTAAGCTGTCCCTTCGCTAAGAAACCTGACTTTTTCAGGTCACTGAACCAAGTGTTCACAGCTTTACAGAATTGCTCCAAAGCACTTGAGGAAAACTTGTTCCAGGCAACTCTATACTGCTTCCAACACTTCTATTGCACTTGGACATTTTTATACCGGTAGTCTTATTTTTATTGGTATTTTATTTCGGCAAGTTATCGGGAATTTCCTTGAATCATTACAATAGCTCGTGACAGTGGAAACAAGAAAATTTAGCTAACACAATACCTTCTTTGTGACTCTTATTCTGTATTTTCCCCGCGATCTCGGGTATTCGTAATAATAAAAGTTCAACAATTGGTCTCTCTCTTCTCTGTTATCTCTTCCCTTGCATGTTTTGTCCATAGTTTGCATAACGGCTTATATCTGAGGTATCTTAGACGCAACAGAAGAGTTCAGAGATAGGTTTATTGTCGGCTAATTTCACAATTTCTTTGCTACTCAATTTGACCAACTTTTTGTCATTTTTTTTCAGGATCAGAGGGTATATGGTTTAGCTTATGTCACTCTCTCAGCGACAAACTGACTGCAAAGCAGAACTACGGACGAACATACAGAACAGCTTAGGGCGAAGGAAGCTACAATTCAGAACACAAAGAAATCCTACTTACACCGAAGGATTGCCGGAACCGGACTGAATTTTTAGCCAGTGTTAACCACAAAAATTGAATGAAGCTCTTTCTTTCTTTTTTTCTTAGGGTAGAATTACAGTTTGGGGACTATTTAGTTTTACAGTTAGTGTTTTAACTTTGTGGTAAAATTGCTTCTTTCACATTTAATTGCCAATTCTTACAGCTTCAAAGTATATCTTTCGTACTATAATCAATTCGAACTGACGTCTATATCAGGGTGCTTACTGAAATAACCGTTCTTAAGATATGACAAGAAAGAACTTAAAAACAGGAAACAGACTTTAGATAACTTTTTGAGTAACTTGTAAACGGCGATGCACATTTAATCTTTCTGGGGTAACCTGACTTAGTCGATCGTTCTACATTCGAAACTACACTCATGTGCAGTAGACCTCGAGGGATACTAAAATCGATCGTTATGCAATATATATATATATATATTTCTTTTTTGTCTTTTAATTTCTTCTTTTTTAGTTTTCCGGTGGTGGAGGCGGGACGTAGTCGTCCTGGTAGGAGGCTGGATCTTCAGGAGGCTGGTAGGTGTCGCCATAATGTGGTTCCGGCGGCGGGCAGTACTGCTGAGTGTGGTTGTTGCTATAGCTATACTCGGTGGGCTGTTGATAGCTCCCTGGTTCCGCAGGAGGCCGGTACGTGTCTCCTCCATAGATCAGGGGTCCGCCTGCGTCGCTGCGGTCGTATAGGCCGGCATAGGCCAGTCGGTTCGGATCCGGGGCGCTCAAGGAGGTGAAGTTTGACTGCGGGGGCGCTGGCGGCGGTTGGTAGCTATCGCCCCCTGGTGGCGGCGGCGGCTGGTAGGTGTCTCCTGGCGGAGGCGGAGCCTGGTACACGTCATCGCTCGGAGGAGGTGGCGGCTGATAGTGGCTTGACCCGTCCCAGGACATTACGGGCTGGGCTTGTGGTTCTGCGTGTTTGCGGGAGACAGAGACATTCTAAAATGGCCAGACACTGCGCGTCCTCCTCGCAAACGAGGTGAATGTTGGGTGTCAAATTTAGGTCATTAGCAGGTCTGACGTATGCGGGTAATATAGTGCTATGGCTGATAACAGCATGGATCTAGAGGAAACAATGAGCGTCTGTTATGCAGAAGGGAACAGATTAGATCTAGAATAGGCGTGTCTTGTGAGTTTTAATTATGACGAGTGTCGGATTCAAGATACAATATTTCGTGGTTGAGAAAGTCGATAGGCACAAGTGGGCACCAGGTATGAATTCATGAAGTTGGATAATACTCCAGTGAATATGAAAAAGGAAAAATTGGTAAGGACAACTGAAAACGAGAATGAAGTATAAAGCATTGTCGGAGTATAAAGGTATGCCGCGGCGAAAGAGATTTGGAAGGGAGTTATGGTGAAAACTAAAGTACTGTGTATGAAACCGGATGTCCAAGCAAGGTTAGAAGTAAAGCAACGTGAGGCAGGTAGTCGAGCTTTGAGAGCAGACGATAAAATTCTAATATTAACATATATTTTGAAGATAAACGAGAGAAATAAAGGAGGCACAATGGGCGCGAAGTTCATCTGGAATCTCGACACAAGGTGGAGGACAAGAGCTAGAAAAGGTTAAAACATTTCTGACAGTGGTGGGGACATCAGGAAATATTGAGATGCGGGTATCAGAATAGGTCAGCCTTGGAGAGATTCTGCAAATTCAAGATGGATCAGTAGAAACGCGGATGATAAGCGCGCGGGGGCTGTTATTATTCGCGTTTTCGCACCGCGAGCCTTGCACCTGTCGCACTTTAAGCGCACCACCGATCTTCCCACACGCTCGAAATCTCTCTCAAATATGCTATTTAGTTACTTTCGGTGGGTCTTAGCAAAATTCTAATAGACCGATCTCACAGCCAGTTCCATCACGCCACCGCTGCCGCCATGCATGGTGGGAACTGGAGTCTCTCTGCATACGCAACAACCCCGCTGGTGGTCTAACCGAGCAGAGCACGAAGCAGCACGAGCTGCCTCGTGAACTGGCGCCTGCCTCTTGTGAACTACCATTATGGCGGCCTCACGCACGGGTGAAACGCTTAGTGAGATCGGTCTATTAGACCACATGTAATCAACTAGACCAATGCTAATCAACAAGGTACTTAACAGAGTTCAGTTAATTAGGCGACATATTGTACAAATTACCCCCCCCCCCCCCCCCCCCCCACCCCCAATATTTTATCCCTCTGGCAGCACAACTCACCTACATACATTCTAAAAATTTCCGTTCTTGAGAGGTTCTTCGACGCCCCAAGTACTCATTCAGCTCGTGAAGAGCGGTTCCGCCTGAAAGACTATCGCCTTCTGGCGCAGTAGAAAGGCAACTGAGCGATAAAAACTCTTTTGTATAAAAAGAGGAGCTTAAAAAGAACCCCTTATATACTTTTTACGAAGAACCCTTTTAGGGGGTGCCTAAAAGAAATTTTTAGGGTCCAAAATATGTACAAGCCGAAGAACCCCTAAGAGTTCCTTTGCGACCAGATTTTTTCAGAGTGCAGGCGGCATTAAAATAGCTTCCAGGGCTTTTCTATACGCAGCATATAAAGCAACCCGTATACAGGCTCTTGTAGGTACGCGTGCGGCACTTATCACCAAGTGCATTAACCTTTTCTTTAATGATAATTAGAGTAGCCTATATAATTTTCGATTGATTAATATTACCATAATGTTTATTTTATCTACAAGAAAAAATCACTTAAAATTTGACATTGTAAATATCTACGCATCTCTCTTAATGTTCTGAAGACAGATACTTTAAAAGCTCAGCTGATACAATCTATTCAAAATACAATTGTAGGTCGTGTTCCGGAGGCGAACCCGGCCGTCGCAGAGGAGACGCACAGCGGCTCCGTTTGTAACACAGAATTGGAAGGCAAGTGGCGAAAGATCATTTCTTTTTAGCAAAGAGGCTGCTTTCGATTTGTATGAGTCTGAAGATCCGATGCCACCAATGCAATGAATGAGCCAGACGCCAAAAGCGCCTGTCTTTGACGACGCACTACTACGGTGCATGGAGGGCGTCTCTGTCATGTCCTCAAAAGTGGTTCCTCGATTTCCGCCTGATGACGTCCTAGAATGCCATGCTGTCGCTGGCCTCGATCCTGGCGGCGTCACAGCAGCCGAGGTGGATGCTGCCGACGCCTGCACGCTGCAGGTCGCTTTCCGACTTGACAGTCCACGGAAGCTTCGGCAACCAGGAGTTGTGACGCCGCGACGACAGCGCCACTCGCGTTTTTTTTTCTGTTCGTGCTTTGTATTAAAGCCGTTTTTTCATTTATTTGGTGATTATAGTTATAGTAGAAAGGGTATATATGCGTACTGCATATCTGTATCAAAACTAGGTGCCTCAAGGCATCTAGAATTGTGATCTACCCACTATCTTTGCAATCTAAACAAATCAGAACTCGGCGTCGTTTTGACGTCATCGCAACCCCCCGCGCAAGAAGCAGACAACCTGTTCGTCGCTTTGTGTTCGCGCTTAAAGGAGCTGAAACACAGTTTGAGTGCTTTGCTTAAATAATTTGAGAGTTGGCGTCTCGACCTTTGTGAAGTAAAGATAAAAAAAACCGCTTTTGCCTGCATGTCCTAGATTTTATTTTAAATGATGGACAAAGATTGAGATTTTCGGCACCTTTCAACTCCTTCACCATCTTCCGAGTCGCCTGCGCTGTGACGTCAATGGGGGTCGCGCGGGGTTCCGTTGAAACTCTATCTCTCTCTTTAGAGCCATCAGTGAGCAGCGAGAACTCATCCGCCCGCGACCGCGTGACCACGTGCTGGCGGGCGCAGCGCGAACAATATGGTGAAAAGAGGAAAATCTCATCCGGGTCCCATACCCGTCCGGCTCTGTCTTCCTCCCCCTCCGGCTTCTGACGGCTGTTCGTGGTAGCAGAGAGAGCTGACGGTTTTGTGGACCTAGGATAGATGGCGCCACTAAAACTCCGTATAATATAAGTTTTGTCGATGATACCAGGTTTTCGACGCATTTCTATTTATGTTGGAACGGCACGATTTATAGAAAAGTTACCCTATATCGAGCAGGTATTCGCACAAGTTGCTATCTTTCTAGAAGACCCCCCATTGACGTCATGCCGCGTGGTTCTCATGGCCGCCGCTCGCGGCTGCAGGTCGGGGGATATTCTCATTTTTGCCTCGCGATTACGAGGCGGAATCGCAACATTTTGAAGGAAGGAGGTGTGTTTTCTGTCCTTTGTGACAAGATGAACAATGTCAAAAGTAGAAGATGCCAATTCTTTTAACGTTAAAGTCATTGCACAGCTCCTTTAATTCTTGCATCGTGATTTGTTCTTGGGCGGCATTAGACAGTTTTCGTAGACCGCGCTGGTCCCCTCCGCTAAGCGTTCCGCAACGAAGAAGTTGCTAGTGCGCCTGCGCGTCGATAGCCTTGACTGTGGAGTTCCCGCTATCGTAGCGGGTTGCGGAGGGCCCTTGCGGGACGGCGAAAACGATCTACGAAAACTCCCTATTATCGGCTAACGCCGCAATCCCATTGACTGCTGAGCGGGACGCTGGGGACTTTCCACGTCTAGCGATTCTGCGGGTAAATAAGCATAAATGTAAACACACGAATCTGTTCACATATCGATACCTTATTTGCACACCAGCCATCTTTCCCATTGGTATCTACTTTTGGCGAACCATGTATACCCTCTGTACACGCGCGCAGCCAGCTTATCTGAGTCTTGACAACTCTTGACCGTCGAACCAGTTATCTTCGAAAATGTTATCTGAGATGTTTGCATAAACTTCGTGTTGTCCAGCAATTGCGATGGAAGATGTCAACTGGCTTTCAACATTGGAGGCAGTTACCTTGTGATTCAACGCAACCCATGCGCACCCACGCTCGTCCGGTTGAAAGGTCCTGAAAGGAACAAAAAATATACAACGCGCAGGACCGCCTTCGTATACTTCCCGTGGATGCTATAAGGAGAGCAAGTGCTCCAAAATGCGTCTTCGGCGCGTCGGAACGGGGGCACCCCAATCAAAGGGACACTTTCCGCGTTCACCAGTCTCGTCACGTTACCCGAAAAAAAAAAGAAAAAAAGTAATCGATTACAATTACAATTACGCTCGCTTAAAAAAAGCAATTCAATTATATTAGCTGATTACTTGCGAAGGAAAGTAATCTGCCGTCACTTCAAAAATGCAACCGTTACTTTTCCGATGACTTCAGATTTTCCACATGACAGATTTTTCTGCCGATTTGAAAATGGGTCGTTCGTACTGTCCGTTTTTAGATTAGGAAGATCGAATTACAAACGATTTGCAGCCGTAGAGGCAGAAAGGTTCGTTGCTATTCTACGGCGATAGCGAACTCCTTTGATTGTTTACAGCAGTCTCTGCTACGCTAAACGGACACTCGCACGGAGCTTAAGTGACTGGGACACATATAACCTTCTCCACTTGATTGAGATACAAATTTTGCCCCTACAGTTTATTTTAGGTCAAAGTTTCGTCTAAAGTTTGCCTTCAAAAAGCTGTACTCGTCCACGTCTGGTTGGTGAAAGTGTTTACTTTTTACTTTTTTTTTGTTTATTAAAATTAAATAGATTAACCGGTTAAAAATGAATACCGATTAAAGCATTAATTGATTAACCGGTAGGTTAATTGATTAAGTGCCCAGCCCTACAAAGTATGTTTTAGAATGTTAGCGGGATCGGGCGTAGCGAAATTAACAAAATATTTGTGACAGATTCTGCTAAAAGTTCCAACAGAGAGAGAGAGAGAGAGAGAGAGAGAGGGAGTATTTTCTCGTAAAGTTCCAGTGCTTTATATCACTAATGAAATTTCGCCAAGGCGTATAAAATAGGCGCTATATTTCACCGATGACCCCTTCATTGTAATAAAATATCTTTCCCAATATATGGTTTTCTCCAGGTTCGGGAGAAGGTGATAGTCGCTGAGGACAAAATAATGAGAGTAAGTGGCTTGAAGAGTGAGAAACAAAGTTGGTTGATGTTATCGGACTGTGATCCTATCAAAATGTGCCAACAAACTGCCATAAAAGAAAGGAATTGTTACCCTTTTTTTAATATTAGAATTATTTTTTTTTATTTTTTTGTCAATTCTTTACAAAAAAATGTTTTAATAACAGTTCTTAATAATGTTATGACCCTTTTCTAATAAATGAATGATGATAACTCCAATGGCCTGCCTCAAGACAAATCAAGGCTTTTACCCCATTTCAATCCGACAAAATCATCTTTGCTTTTTGGGGTTTCTGTTTTCGCGTTTTTTTTATTCTTAGAGGTAATGAATTATTTCTAGTACACAAAAAAACACAAAAAGACATCGAAATTTAATGGGAATTGTTTTTAAAAAAGACAAAAAATGGCCTCTGAACTAACAAATACAACAGCATCACGTCTTTTGCGAGTGTGAGCAAGCAGCAAAGTGAACGACGCTGACGATGACCTCAGTCGACGATCCAACGATATCATCTCGTGGACCTCGCCAATGTCACATCCAGCGATAGTGTCGATGGCTCTCCACTGCGAGGGTCATGCTCTCTGCCGACTCCGTTTGGGAAGCGTTCTATCCATTTGCTAATGGTATAAATATAAAGAAACATAAATACCTAAAGCTCTGTTCATACCTGCTATCGGTTCCGTTTAAAACCCTCTCCTACCAAATATTTTATCTGGCATGAACTTCGACATCCTACTTGTTCTTCCCGCTGAATGTACATCGACTGCTTCCATTGGCTGGGAAACACAATTTGAACACTGACATCTTGAGCATGCGTTTTACAGCGCATGGTAGGTGAAATTGTATTTAACCTCATGCAGAATGCAGCACGGATTGCAATGCAAACACTACATTAGCCTTTTTTCTTTCTTGCCATTAGTTTGAAGGAGTATTTGCAGGCGCCAAATTTTTGCTGCTTAGGTTAATGCCCCAAATAAAACCTCTTCACTGCGCCGGTGGTTTTGAAAAACCAACCAAAACGGTGATAACTTGTTCGCGTTAACAATATCACACTGTGATCTTGACTTGGAGTACTTCTTGTCCCGCTTCATCTTATAGCCCTCGTGAACCACCTCTTTCGCTAAGGGCTTACACTTATGAGCCAGTAAAAAGTATACTCAGCCTTTCCAGAAATAAGGTGTTTTCGATCAATCAGTCGCAGTTTTGTCAGGTATACTTATAGGTACAAGTGAGCTTTTCTATTGTATCTCATTGTCCGTTCTATATTCCCGGCTGCCCGAAAGCGCAGGTACGCTAACCCACTGACTCGCACTATATTAAGCAAAAAGATGAATGGAGGCTTAATATATTTTTTTTTCAGCTTGGCTCTCTGCTTATGGTAAAGGGAATTAACGTGATAGAATGGGAAAATATTCGGGTAAAGCGCGGCTATTACCGCATTTTCCAGACAGTAGTAAGCTGTGGGTATATATAAGAATTTCCCTTTTTAAAGTCGCTCAATGTCAGAGCGGTTTGTCGTCCAGTGCGGTTGTCAAGATCGCGCTCTTTCACACTTAGGCATCATTCAGCAAGTTGAGACTGACAACTCGTACGCGCATTTGCGTTCCAGTGTGACCGACTGCGTTTAAAAACCACTTGTTGGAAAACTCTATGCGGCAACACGAGGAAATCGTGTTGCCGGCGACACTGTCATATCGCGGCAACAACAACAGTCGGGCAGCATGTTGCCGTCGCCCGGTAACCGGGTGGACGAATGGATTGAAAGAATTGCGGTAGCTAAGAGGAGACTGGACGATTGGTGGAAACGATCTAGGGAGGGGTAAAAATACAGATCATAATAAGCAATGGAAACACAGAAAAAAAAAAGGGGGGGGAAGGGTTGTGTTAAAACAAAATTTATACAAATTAAAAAAAAAAAAGAAGGGATGACGAAATGTTAGGCTGGGTGGCGTAAGCTTCCACCCGTTAAACAGGATATAGCCATTACCATCTATCCAGCCATCCATCCAACCGACAAAGATGAGCTCAGGCAGGGACGGGAGAAGCGGGCCGAACTTGACAATCTTGGGGTGGTTTTTAAGAGGATAGAAAGAGACTGGGCGGCTATCTTCGAGGAATTAAAAGATATGCGGACGAAATTGAACAAAGAGAAAAAGAAGCAAGAGGTGCTAGAGGAGGCCTGGCAAGGTCAGCTGGAGGAGCTGGAGGCGACGCAAAGATTCAACAAAGATAAACATAAAACAACGAAATGGCAACGGGAGGTGAGGTTAACGATGGAGAAGGATGGACGAGAGGCAGTGGAAAAGAAGCTAGGAAGGGTGGGACGTGAGCTGCAGATGATGAAGAGACAGGGGACGAAGGAGGAGCAGTTGACGCAGTGCCGGTTGTAGAAAGCGAGAGTGCAGAGGACGTAGACACTAGTGTGGCGGCAAAGACAGCGAGGCCATTGTACAGTACGGTGGTGCTACGGCAGCCCCTTACTCCGACAGCCGCCAAACCTGCGATGCAGGGAAAACAAGCGGGAAGGGAACAGAGGGTGTTGGTGGTAAAAAGCTCTAATGTGTCTAGGAGCACAGCGGGGGTCGCCAGCAGAGTCGGGGGAGATGGGAGAGTAAAGGTTGCAGCCCTCCCAGGCAGGAGGAAGAAGGAGGTGGTGGACACCACAGTAGAAATGTTGACTGAGAACAAGGGGGAGGAAAACCATGTGGTGGTACATCCGAGATTGAATGACGTCCTAGGTGGAAGGGGAAGGGACCTGGCCACACATATCGATGAGGGTGTGAAGTAGTTGAGGTTCGTAACCTCTGGGATGGTGCACATTGTAATGTGCACCGTCCCGGAGGTCAGGGGCCGAGGAGCAGGTGCAGAGAGGGCAGTCCAGTGTGCTAACAGGACTACCAAGAGACTGAGCTCAAGAAACGGATATGAGGTTATTAATGTGAACTGGGAAGTACACCAGGAAAATTATTTTTTAGGAGCAATCAGAGCCCTCCGGTAGCTGGCTCAAATGCAAATAAGAAGATTGGTAGGAAGCCTCGCGGAAAGAAAAAGCAGCAGCTCATTATAGGATTTATAAACATGCAGGGGGGTAGAAACAGAATGAAGTGGGAAGAGATTGCGGAATAATTAAATGATGAAGATTTTGTAGAGTATGAATTGGCAGAGACACATCTCAGAGTCATGAAGGAACCACCCCATACTTCGAAAGTTATTTTTGGGTGGGATGCAATCGATGTGAAGGGGAACCGAATTGAGGAGGATTGGGAGCGCTAGTGAAAGTACAGGGCTGGGAAAAGGTGAGGGAAAGCTGCAGAAAACACATGTGGTTGAAAGGTAATGTCAGAGATTTAGACGCGCTCATAGGATTTGTATGTCTGAAAACTAACTGATTCAAGAGAGGAAAATGCACAGCACGTGACGTGTATTTCCAAAGATGTTGGATAAATTGGCATTAATCGGGCAATAGTTATTTTAGGATACATGAATGCACACTTAGAAGACTTTGACGGATATACAAATTCTACAGGGAGGGTGTTAGAAGAATTCTGCGATGCTCTTGATCTAGTGCTTGTTAACGCCCAAGTAATACGCGACGGAAAAATAACCTGGTAGAGAAGCCATTCGCTCTCAACAATTGAATACTGTCTAATGTTTAACAAATCGTGTAACAAATTATGACACATGAAAATAGATGAGAAAGGAACGAAATGCTTAGGAAGTTATCATAAGCGACTTAAAATAAAGTTTGATACAGCAAAACCAGAGAAACAAATTTTTGAACGAGAAATTGTATTGATCCTAAACGGTGCCCAAGTACGAATTGAGACCATAGTGTCCAGACAACTGGGAAGAGGATGGACATATGACGATTTAGTAAATACTTTTAAAAGAAAGTTAGAGAAGTTCAAAATCAAACAAAGAGGAAGAAGAAGAAGGAAACATACACTGAAAAGCTGGTGGGTCAGTGAAGTTAAGACGGCCTTAGCAGGGCGACAAGAGGCTTCAAGGGAACACAGATAGGCGAAGAAAAGGGGGTACACACCCGCTTAGGTAACATCGAAATAGAATGCATTTCAGGAAAAAAAAAAAGAAAAAGAGAGGCATCTGCTCTAATCCAGGCCAAGATTGGTAGGGCTGGAGTGCAGTAGATGATGGAGGTAAATCAAAATGATAGGAATGCAGCAAAAAGGTTCAGGAAGCACATTAATGTACAGAGAAGAAAAACAGAAGGGGTCTATTGTTCATTGACCACACAAGAGGAAATAAGTGTAGAGGGCGAAAAGGTAAGGGAATTTATTAGAGGAACCCTCGGAGGCAACATTCGCAGAACTTGAACCGAACGAGATTGGTCAGAACACAAACAGCAACACGGCACAAGACGAGACCGCTAACGAGACGGGAGAATGGGACCGAGCAGAAACAAAAGTACCTGCTAGAATGGCGACAGGCTCAGATGGCATAGGAATGAGACTAGTCAAGGCACAGAACCGGTTCCGAAGAGAGAGAAGTGTGTCCAACTGCTCGATCGGGACCACGCAGTTATGGGTCGCGTTTGCAGTGCGAGCTGCGAGGAGGTCCCCAAGGCGTTGATCGTCTGCAAACGCCTTCGCCTTCTCGTCTGCTTTTTTGCTCGGTGGATGCCGGGGTCACACTGCTCATACATCATACAAAAGACAGTCTACAAACATCAGTCCTTCGTGGTTCGAATGCCACGTACCAATGTCTCTCCTTGAACTCGTTGCCACGCAGCATTCGAAGTACGAAGATCGTGGTGTCTTGCGTTCGAATCTGTATGCAGTCTGTCTTTTGTGTGATGTGCAAGCAGTCTGAACCCGGCTTAAGTGTTGCTGTCGCCCTAGACACCCCCTCGTGGGACTCGGGAAATAGATGTACCCAAAAGGACAATGCAAATTATGCTCGATCTTTATAGCACACAGGTGCCATTGGTAAAGGTTGTGAAAGTGTTATTGCAGTGGCTGTAGCATCTTCCGCGAACCGTAGTCGAGGTGCCTCCGAAATAAATAAGAGCGTTCACGCTCGTATTAGTTATAATACATCAACTTATATTTATAAAAAAAAAGCGAAAAATAAAATTTATATTTGTATGGTTTTATTACGCAGCGTTGAGCGCTATTTGTTGGGGATCTTATACATTTAACGCTGCGGACTATACGCACCAGGTGCGATCTATCTAAGGAAAACTTTTTTTTTTTTTCAGCTAACATTTACTTTTGCGGGAACAAAATTTTTTTTAGATTCTTTTTGTTTTATTATAGACGGATGGAATCCTCTGTAGTGTAGAATACTCAAAGAACCCCCCAACATGTTCTCAGTTTTGCAATAGCTCGCTATATCTATAGTCTCATAAAACTCTTCTCCCCTTACCTTTGACGTATACATTGTTAATATTTTTGCATAATGTTTATTTTCTCGGGTGGTGACCAAAAGAACAATAAATAAACAGCAAGAAATAAACGTTTAATGTAGCGAACGTGCGCCCAAAAACAGAGTAGAAAAAGGATAGCGTCGCAGGCGTCGATAGCGGCGAAACAGCAGGATCAAACGCTGGGGCGAGACTGACCCCAGCGTTCGATGGGGTCAGCAAAGCCCCTTATGTACGCGCGTTGACTTCTGGAACAATCGGCGGCCTAGAACGTTCGGCGATTAGAACATTTGGAACTCGATCAGACGAAAATGTTCTCGAACTCACGAGAACGCATTGTTGAAAGAATAAATAAAAGAACATTCCACTGACTGGACTCGAAACTAGACTTTCCGCGCGACAGTCAAGAGCGATAACCACCCGGCCACGCACGCCTTTTTTAGAGCGCAGCTCTTAGGGGCCCGTTCCCGGCTTGAGCGGCGTCGCCGTCGGCGTCGGCGTCGCCGTCGCCGTCGCCGTCGGCGTCGGCGTAACCGCAACCCTCGTAACCCTCGTGAGGGTTACGAGGGTTACGAGGGTTAATCTCATGAGGGTTACCCTCACGAGGATCACGAGGGCCACGAGGGTTACTTACCCTCGTAACCCTCACGAGGGTTACGAGGGTTAGTTACCCTCAAAAGGGTTACCTTCACGAGGGTTACCCTCACGAGGGTTACTTACCCTTGTAACCCTCACGAAGGTTACGAGGGTTAGTAACCCTCGTGAGGGTAACCCTCGTGAAGGTAACCCTTTTGAGGGTTACGAGGGTTAGTAACCCTCGTGAGCGTAAGCTTCACGAGGGTTACCCTCACGAGGGTCACGAGGGTTATGAGAGTTACCCTCACGAGGGTTACTCACCCTCGTAACCCTCGTTACCCTCACGAGGGTCACGAGGGTTATGAGAGTTACCCTCACGAGGGTTACTCACCCTCGTAACCCTCACGAGGGTTACTCACCCTCGTAACCCTCACGAGGGTTACGAGGGTTAGTTACCCTCACGAGGGTCACGAGGGTTATGAGAGTTACCCTTACGAGGGTCACGAGAGTTACCCTCACGAGGGTCACGAGAGTTGCCCTCACAAGGGTTACTAGGGTTACCCTCACGAGGGTCACGATGGTTACCCAGGTCGTGACCCCCCCTGGGGTCACGTGACCTGGGGATACCCCCCGAGGTCACGTGACCCCCCGTTGACGTCATAGGCACTGATGACGTCGTCAGTGACGTCACTGATGACGTCACCGGCATCCGCATCGTCATCGTCATCATCACTGATGACGTCATTAGTGACGTCACTGATGACGTCACCGGCATCCGCATCGTCATCATCATCACTGATGGCGTCATCAGTGACGCTACTGATGACGTCATCGGTATCGTCACGTGGCCCCAGGTCACGTGACCCCCCGACGTCACGTGACGCCCCAAGGTCACGTGACTCCCACAAGGTCACGTGACCCCCAAGGTCACGTGACCCCCCCGCCCCCCGAGGTCACTTGAAGCCACCCCCCCCAGTACCCTTCCCTCCTCCTCCTCAAGAGCTGCGCTCTAATTCGGCGTTACAGGGAGTTGTAAACGGCTTTCATTTTTTTTTCTTTATTTAAAAGTTTTATATATACATAATAAAAGAATGGCAGGCTTTTTTTTTTTTTTTTGCAACCAGAGAAAACATGTTTTGCGTGGTTGCAGTGTCGCTCGGACAACGGCACGCACACCCGACCACGACCCGACCACGCACGCGGTCGCTTGCCGACGCGCGTGGCAGATATTCATTTGAGCGGCCTTCCCCCCTACCGTGATGCCCTGTGGGCGATGTAAATACACGAACAAACAAACAAATAAATAAATAAATAAATAAATAAATAAACAAAGAAAGAAAGAAACAAATAAATAAATAAATAAATAAACTCAACTGAGATGTTGAAGAAGTGCCGATGTGGCAAGCAATCATGAACCGTTTGTCTGAAATAGCACCTAAAGACCTCAGAGATAAGTAATGAGATTGAGGGACCGAGGTGCAAGCAGCGGAAAGCCGAGATACGCACGAGCAGGGTGCGGTACAGTTAGCACCCCCCTATGCAATCGCCGTTTTTTTCCCCTCTCACAGTCAAGAGGCTATTGCAGGATAACATAGTCTGTTGGAATTGGCTAACATGGGGTGCCCCGCGTCAGCACCTTCCTTGGTCGACTTAGGAGGCAAAACGGGCTGCTTGGCTCTGAGCTGTATCAGTAATATGCGAACATGTGTCAATGTTCGCGCTAACTATGTGTCCCGAAGTGTTGCACAGCACTGAGGTCTTTTAGCATGATCGCGACTGGATTCTGATTATGTAAACTTTTCAGCCAGTGCACAGTGGACGAAATTTTATCCAAAAATTCACAAAGTACCACCGCGTTTTAAATTTTCTGCCGAGGACACAAGTGTATTAGGGAGAAGAAAACAACCCAACTCACCGTCGCTGAGGAACACCAGCTTTGTCGACGTCTGCGAGAGCTGTTATCAGCGAACGTTAAGAGAAGGCAAACATTGCTGATAAAAGGATATGTAAGGGATGAGGATGTGTGCGTGGGGCGGGGTGGCGAAACCCTTCAAAGTCGGGTGGCCGCTCGCGCCACCTAGGCAGTGTTTTGAATTTTAACATGTAAATTATCATTGCATTAAGGTGAAGACTAATATTAGTGCTATCTCATAGCACATGTATAACATTCGCTATGATTCCTGAACTTTAGATTAGGTGGATATCCTATGCGCTCAGGTGCTCTGCACCTTTTGCGCGCCGTGTAACGAGGAAATAAATAAGAAAAAATAAATATTTCCGCTGAGGCCCGAGGGGTTATTTTAAATGGCTTTAACCACGCAAAGTTTTGTTCTTATACATCTAATAAAAAAAAAAAGAAAGATGAAAAACAGCTACAAATTTGACGCTCAGTCGCTATTGTACGATTTCGTTTTAAACCGCGAAACAAAAAGAGATAAAAGTTAAAAACATTCCGGAAAAATAATGCTGCGTCAATGGACCTTCTCCACATACCGACGGCACCAGGCGGTGGCTGCACGAACTAAAAATCGAGGAAGTGACCTACCTGCGCTACCAATCGATAATGGGAGCTACGCTACCAGTTTCTTCGCTCTCTGAGCAGCGGCGCTTGCCAAACGCGACTTTAAAGGGACCATGAAATGATTTTAAAATCGAGTTCCATCCACCGCACGTCGTAAAAGGTGTGAAAAAAAAACACAAAAACACAAAAATAGGGAGCCAAAAAAAATTATTTGCCATAGAACTTTTAAAAGAAAACTGGACTCTTTTGCGCCTTCCTTCCTTCGCCTGTTCACTACGATGCATCCGCGGAAATGGAGCACGTCAGCCAAATCCAGGTCGCCTATTGGGTGAGAGCCTACCTCACCAGCACCGCGATCGTAAACAATAAATAGCCGGCGAATGTTTCCTAAAAGTTTTGTTAAATAATATTCAGATCCACATTTTGTAGCATAATTAGAGATGTGTGGCGAAAATTGCCAAATTTGATAATGCTGAGAGCCAAGCGCCATCTATCGTGTGGTAAACGAAGCAACTACTGCGCGTGCGCAGTAGAGCGCCTGGGCAGGGCCGACAGTTACTTGGTTGGCGGCGACCGACGAACGTTTATTTTCTTTGTTTTCCTTCCTCTCAAAACTCTGACTGACTGAACGTTTATTTTTCTACGTGTTCTTCCCGCGCGTGCCGACTTCAAGCAGCAAGAAAACAGTACTTAAAACAGACCACGGCGAACAAGAACGCTGGATCCACCAACTCCGACGAAGCGAGCTGCTCAGAATATAGGCCTAGCAGGCATTCCGACTCGGCGCTGCTTCGTCGCAAGACCGTCTGCCTACGACCGGCTGGCGTGCTAAATGGAATATGCCCGCGCGACCCTTGTGGACCCTTCCCGTCCGTATTATAGTTTGATCGCTGACCTCAATTCTAGATTAAGAGGTGAGGTCAATCTCTTCCCCTTGTTTTCCGAGGCAGTGTTGACGAACACTTGTCGAAAAGGGTCTCGTCGATTCTATCTTCTTGTTTTGTGTGATATAGAGCTGAAATAAACGCCGTATGGATTACCTTCGTAACACGGTATGTACACTTTGTTATTGGTATGCCATTTTTATTCTGACAGACTGCACGTCACTGTCGAGCTATAACAGATCGTGGGAGGTATACGTACAACCCCGGTCCAACTTTCTTTGCCGAGTGTCGCGTCAGTATCGAGTTGCAATCGTAAAAGAACGGTCCCGAAGCGCTTACAAACAGCGCGAATACAGCACTTCCATCAAGCGCGCGCGTCTGCTCCGAGTGTAAACAGGTATTTACGTGGCTCTTGCTGACACTCGTAGTTCAAACGTATCTTTTTTAACGTCGGCTCGCTCCTGCATCTCAGAGGCCGTGAAAAACGCCATCTACGTCGCTTTGCAAACGACTGACACGGGCCGGCCCTTCTGCCAACAATGACGGGGTGGTTGACTTCTGGAGTCTTCACCGGAAGACTCGCTGCACTTCCCAACAGGCATACCGGCGTATGGGACTACTCCCATGCTGTCGCTGTAGCACAACATATCTCATTGAATTTCGCTCAGCTGCGATGCGGCGATGAGAGGCGCCGATTCAGGAAATACGCCGGTGACATCAGCGCAGTAAAACCTACCGGCGCACCCCAACTCGTTGCCGCTAACACTCCCATTCTGCTACTGCCGAGAGAACTTCCGGTTCCGGAAACGGCCTACGTCACGGCTTGTTTTGCGGTCAGTTGGAGAGAATGAAAAAGTCGATATTTCAATAATTTTTTTGTGTAGAAGTTAGTAAACCGAGACGAAAACGGATGCCTGTTCGGCATTCAGTGAACATTGACGGTTTAATGTAAAAGTTATCTGGAAAAAGTAAAAAGGTCATTTCATGGTCCCTTTGAAGAGGGGCATCCGTGGCGTCCACCCAAATGTCGTGCTTTCCTTTCCGTCGACGTTCTTTTTTTGTGTAACACAATTATATATATGCTGCAGTTACGTGTTCTACTCGCTGATATACAGCCTCCTTCCGATTTTCCTCGATTTTTCGTTCCGATTTCCGCCGCTTGGCATCGGGCGCTCGCGCGTGCGCAGAACGCTTCTCGGAAAAGGTCCATTCTTGACCAGAACGAAACACGTCTATAGGGTGGTTCAAGTCACCAGGCTCGATCTAAAATGGACCGTAAAAATCGACGCCTGCAGGTATCGATCTAAACTTTTCGTCAAAGGTGGACTTCGGGTCGGTTTTTTCTTGTAAACTTACAAAGCGTAGCTCTCTTTCTATAAAAAATAAGCCCCAGAAACTTGCCAGGGTCTACGGCGGGCAGCAACGCAGACGACAGGGGTCCAGTAGCAGGGTGTGTTTGGAGTTCATATTGATAGATGGCGCTACCTCCTTATCGCGACCACCGTGGTTTATTAAAATGAATATAATCTTTTTGAAATGTACCTGCGATTAAAAAAATTAATGCGAACAACAAAAGCAAAACTTAAAGTAAAAAAAAAAAAAATGCGTCTCCATAACGGCGGCGCTTTTGCTGCCAACGGATTTCGTCTGCGTGTCGTCTGCTATCTTTCGCTGGTCGGCTGCACCTTCAGACGCTGCTCCCGACGCCATCTATCAATACGAACGGCAAACACAGCCCGCTACTGGACCTTGTCCTCTGGGTCGCCACCCGCCGTAGTCCCTGGCAAGTTTCTTGGCCCTATTTTTTACTAAAATATATCTACGCTTTGTAATTTTACAAGAAAAACCCGATCTTGAAATACACCTTTGACGAAAAGTTTAGACGGCTGCGTGCAGGCGTCAATTTTTACGGTCCATTTTAGATCGAGCTTGGTGACTTGAACCACCCTATAGATCTCAAATTTTTTTTTTGTTGTCTTTTACCTAAAATTGTTGATACCATGTTTTGAGATTTGGGCGATCGTCACAGGTCGCCCATTTGGGTGTTTCATCAGGCTCAGATACCTTTTGCACGACAAGAAAACTTTGTACATGCTTTTGACCTACAATAAAAAAGTGAAATGACATTCATAGACATATGTTTTTGATTTTAATCATTAAAAAATGCAGAACGTATCTTCCTTGACGATAATTCACCTGGGTTAGGGGACTATGATTACGTTCAATTTAATGACATGTTGAATAAAAGATATATAAAATAAAAAAGGTTCAACATGCACCTTTTCAAAAACTAGATACCACGTTGTCAGTTATAATTATCTTATCTAAGTACAACTTTGAACACGAGAGAAAACTCTAAAATTGCAAATTTTAATATCGATTTCCTTAAAAATGCCATCTTTTATTTATTTTTTCGCACGAAGAGCCTTTGGTATGGGGTCCAAAATATAAAATAAAATTTAGATGTCGTACATGGTTTGGATGTATTACGCAGTACGTTTGAAAAGACAATGTATATTTGAATCTCTATTCCAAGATGTAAAGCTAGGGTCACCAACATTTTTCCTGCCTGATTAATAATTATTTGTTGGCCCTTAGGCAGTGCTGGCGGTAACGCGTAACTTTTTTCCGTAACGTAATAACGTACTGCTTACTTTTTCAAAACGTAGCGAGTAACGTAGTTAACATTGCTTATTTTAAGTGACGGGTAACGTAGTTACCTTAACCGTTACTTCTTCCCAAGACTTAAAAAATTGCACATCCATTTTTATCGTGTGTTAGTCGCCAAGTCATGCCAAGTTTTAAGTTTTGTTTTGTTTGTCTTTGCGTTTTTTCTCGAAAGTACTTAGGGGAAACCGTAAAAAAAAAAAATGAAGTAATAGTGTTCAGTTTTTGCATGAACATAATTCTTGAAATATGACGCTTATGCCTACCTGTACCGTTAAAACTGCAAAACGCGTTATTCATAGTTAAAAAAAAAGTAACGCAAAAGTAACGTGCGTTACTTTTTATCGGTAACGGTAACGCGTTCCTTTTATTTGCAAGTAACGAGTAACGTATTTCGTTACTTTTTTTTGGGCAACGCCTACAACACTGCAATATGACAATTTAGATTAAACCTTTCCTGCAAAACTAATTCCAAAACATTATTTTATTTGTCTCCTGCCTATCATTTAACAAACAAGAAAAGTAACGTCTTATTTCAGGCAGACCAGAACACGAAAGAAAAAGTAAAACAAGTTTTTTATTACCTTAAAAATCAAGCTGTTCTTGTTAATTAAATTGTACTTCCAAAGTTTAAGTTTGCAGTTGTGTACGTTCCTACGTCACATCGTGCAATAATGGTCCGGGTCATTTTTTTTTTTTTAGATTTCTGTAAAAATATATGTTAAGTCATTCTTTGTTGAGAAGCACGCCGTAGCTCATTTTCTTCCGGAGATACAACATTTCGAAGCTCGAGTAGTGGACATCTCCAAGGCTTCGCTATAGTACGTTGCACAAGTCGTCCATTTTACGTCGAAGGGTGCACGTACGTAGTAACAATTTTTTTTACTTATTTTATTAAAGTTTTACGACATGTACACAAAATATAAAAATTACATTAAATTATTTCTCTG